TGTGGATACAGGAATTTCCTGTTTTGAGGTCGAGTTTGGTCACGTGACCAGGAAGTTCCGATTTGACAGTCTTTCAGCCACGAGGCTGGGGGTCCGCCATTACACAGTTCAAGATGGAGGCACAAATCGTGTCCCAGTGAAGCCAGCTATAACTGTACATTGTGGGACTTTAAGAAGCATTGTCTGTAAGTTCGTTTGTTCTTATATAACTGGGAATGCTGTTATGTTAGAATGACCGTTATAATGCTGTAAATACCTTTTTAATAATGCTTTTAAATTGTTATGATAAATACGAGGCCAAGTTAACAACGAAGCCTGCAACTTGCCTTATTGTGAATGTCACTTGTAATTGAATAAGTCGAGTCACACTTTTACCCAAGTAACTATATTGCGATTTTGAGAGCAAGGATGACGAAATGTATCGGTCATAGTGCAGTGTTATATGCCGTACTATAAATCTGGGGTGCAGTGTGATTGCACGATGTGCCTTTTTAACACAGCTTGTTCTCTTGTATAGCTGTTCAGTGCTGTTGTGGGTGCCTGGTCCATCCAGGATCTATTGTTGAGAAACACGTTATCTAGGACAATGTTGTGAAGCTGTAGTGTTAATGCATTGTGTTGATGTTTCCAAGTATTAACAGATGGTGTATATGTGCTGTGTTTTTCCATCACTTTTACCTCGTTCAATTCAATATATTACGTTTGGAGTCCGATGTTCACCTTGGCTCTGAGGGTTTATTGGATGCGAGGTTAACTACTCGGATAGCGGTGCAACGCACATCAAGGCCAAGACACGCGGTCACCTTACCTACTGTATCCATATGGAAATGCAAAGCCCCTCAAGCCAGTGGGGCAGACTCTGCTGCTGTATGATTGTGATGGGGCCTATGGGACATTTTTCAGATTCTATGGAAAATAAGCCAGCTCTTCTCTCTGGCGGCGACAGTGAGCGTTTAGACCTCATTCAAATACGAGCCGATGAAGTATTCACATTGGAAAAGTCGATGAAGGGTTATTATGAAGAAAACGGATAACATGCCGGGCTATAGGAGTAGTCGGGCAGGAGGTCCGAGTGCAGGACAGATTGATCAACATTGTTAATGGGGCCCCATGCAGATCAGGGAGCTAGTCCCTGCAGTCACATTTACCATCTCCAGGTCTTCTGCAAAAGGAACAGGTACTCCATCACTATGCGGACTAATTTGAACCCCCCCGCCCCCCCTGAAATTTGTCACCAAGGTTGAAATTTGTCACCATGGCAAATGTTGTTCCAATCCAGGCGCCCATTCATTAGGTACCAGTTGCAAAAAGGGAAAAGGAAAAGGTGGCATTGGATAAGTATGTTGCAGCAGGGGTTTTCATCCAGGTAGAGGAACCAACACCCTGATGAAGATGAGGGTCTCTATTGATCTCGGCCAAATGGTGAATAAAGCCATTCTGCCACTGGTCTATCAAATGCCGAAATTGAACAAAAAGCTATTAATGTGAAGGACGGCTTCCTCCAAATGATCTTGATGGCAGTACCCCGATTTCGAAACGCCAAACATTAGCATAAAAAAAATCCATTATTGGAAAATTCTACTTTGAATAGTGCATCGTGTACAGCTTCTCGAGATTAGTCGATTGCCGCATCGCCGACTATCATCAGACTAAAAATGACTGCATCACGGACATTAAGAGAGAGTCGGGGTACTATGGTACCCCGGAGTATTGCCATAAAGTTAATATACCTCAAAGTTAATATACCTCTTGATGAGGAGTCCTCCTACATGACTACGATGCACACATCATATGGATTATATCGCTGGCTTTGGTTTCCCTTCGGCATATCCAGTGCCCCAGAAGAGTTCCAAAGTTGATTGACGATGGCGTTGGAAGGTCTGGAGGGTATAGTGTGCATTGCTCATGACATCCTTGTGTACGGGGCAGGGAGAACTTATGAGAAAGCAGAGAAGGACCATGATCGTGAGTTCGTGGCATTGATGGAAAGGTGTGCAACCACATCAATTGTAAACCGGATAAGCTTCTTTTTAAACTGCGGGAGTGGAAGTTTATGGGGCACATCATCACAGATAATGGCATGAGGCCAGATCCTGAGAAAGTGGAGGCAATTGCCCAGATGACAAAGCAAGCCTGCTACGGTTTATGGGAATGGTCAATTTCCTTTCACCCTTTTGTGCGAGTCTCGGTGCATCTATTAGTCCTCTGACATGACTCGCTCAATATGGAGTACCATTTCTTTGGGCCGGCCCCCAGAGTGAGGCATTTGCCACAGGAAAGCGCCTTATCACATCAGCTTCGGCGCTGCATTATTATGATCTTCATAAGCCAGTGGTCTTGCAAGTGGACGCAAGTGAAGATTGACTAGGGGCAGCCCTTCTCCAAAGCAATGAGGAGGGTAAGCTCCAGCCGGTCGCTTTCACCTTCTGCAGCTTGAATACCACATAAAAGCGCTATTCACAGAGAAGGAATCCCTCGCTATATCCAATGCGTTTTCAAAGTTGGATCACTGGCTATATGGCAAGCATGATGTTGAGGCTCATTCAAACCATCAGCTACTGGAAACTTTCATCAAGAAGCCTTTACATAAGGCACCAGCCCGGTTGCAACGGATGATGATGAAGTTGCAACGCTATAGATTCACGTTGATCTATAAGAAAAGTTCGTCTTTGCATCTTGCCGACACACTCTCATGGGCACCGTTGCCAACTCAGTTTCATGTTAATATTGGTAGGAACCTCCTGGTCACACCAGCCCACAGGGGATTGTTGTGTCCGTCCGTCCGTCGTGCAGGGAGGGGTTGGGTGGGGAGGGGCTGGGTGGGGAGGGTAGGGAGGGGCTGGGTGGGGAGGGGCTGGGTGGGGGGTGGGAGGGGTGGGGCTGGGTGGGGAAGGGCTGGTCACCCCGTGGTGCCCTTATAAAATTCAACGTTTAACCATACTTACGCCGGCTTGTGCCCGCCCTCACAGTCGGGCATATTTGCGGAATACACCACGCCGCCGTTGACCCGGTCCATTGACCGAGCAACCCAACGTTCCTACCAGCTCCCTCCGCAGGAATGTGTCACAAGATTTGAGGTGTTCAGGGGCACTATAGAGGATTGGTTTTACCAACACAACCCTGGACTATTAGGAAGCACGGAGGTGCAATTGATGGATAACTTGGGCCAGGGATGGCACGCAAGTAGCGACGATGCAATGACAGCGACGGCGTGAAGACAGTCGACCCCGATCCAACGGCAGCCCCAAGCTTCGCCGCTCGCCACCTTTTATCCCCCGGCGTGGCCTCGCTCGGCCCCCGGCCACACCCCCTTTCTTGAACTCTCTCGCCTGTTCCGAAACTTCCCTGATGGTTCCCATTCCGTAATTACCCCTCGTGACCACTGGGCCACGTACTGTTCCTACACCTGCACTGCCTCCACACACGCACTCTCTCCACTCGCACACTATCTCTCTACCCGCACTGTCTCTACACATGTAAATGTACAATATTGATGATGTTTATAAGACGAGGACTGTCAAATATATTGTTCATTACAAGTCAATGGCAGCCAACATCTTCCGGAAGACTGACTCGCGTGTTTCTTGGGTATGATGTCATCTTTCTTTTAAGTCTACGCCTGTGGCTGTGCTGCGGTGACGTCACAAAATAGGGTGGAAAGTCTCTTGAGTTTTACTTAAATGGCGTTTAAATGCCACTGAAATTGAGACACTTTACAAATCTTTGCTTAGAGCCAGAATAAACAAAATATTTCGTTGAAATTCAAAACAAATGCATCATTAAATCTACGTTAATAATCAACAAAGCCTAAACAGATTTATATTCAGTTATTGATACAACTATTTAAAACAAACCCCTTCATATTAAGTTGCTCAAAAAGAATAAAATCGCTAAGAGTAAAATCTACATGATAATTGGACAAATTGCAATCAAATGATGGCACCGGGTTGCATCTGCCGGGTGAAAAATGATAATACAGTATATATCCGATATATGCTAATTTATATAATTATGCGCGTAATTTGTTAGGCTATGCGAATGTATGCGATTATGCGAATGTATGCGATTATGCTAATGTATGCGGTTGTGCTAATTGGCTTGGCTTCCTTGTCTCAGGTCGTATTATCAATCGGGATAATACAATTATTCTCGCTTTAAAATTTACTGATTATGTCTTAGTGTGTATGTTAGGTCTCCGAATTTAAATCTCACCGCAGCATACAGTTCTCATGATTGAGATTATTAAGGCACCACTCAGACACTTCTGTGTTAAGCAACTTTAATTTATAAACAAAAACATAACACTAATATGCGAACTCTTATGCTTGGAATTGTCGACACAGTACTCCTGGAGATGTTCTCCTCATTGATCCGTACATTTAACCCTCAATGATAACGTTATTAAACTGGTAGCAAAACAATCGATTAATTCCTCAGAGTAACGTGAGCATATACGGCGATAGGAAAAAGTCCTTAAAATGCATGAGACAATATTCATACGAACGGCAATAAAGAAACATATCCCGAAGGCAAATGTATACGTCAATGAATTAATCGGTAAGATTTTGCAATTAACGAAAAAAACGACAAATTATTCTAAACGACCGTATCTACGTAACTCAATGGGCAGCAATGTTCTTTATCATCAGCTAATAGTTGACGCACTCTTATCATTAGTCTTCTTCTTATTAGTCCGGGTATGTGTTTACGTGTGTGTGGTGGTTTTGTCTCCTTGGTCAATTATTTGCGTTAAGCAGACACCAGGCGATGCGTTGTAGTGTGTGAGTGTGTGTATGTGGGGAGCGGTGGTGTAGCGGTTAGCGCGCTGCGCTATGAACCTGGCGACCCGGGTTCGATTCCCGCTCACGGCTAACACCAGTGACGATTATCTGAACCGGTCCTGGGCATCCCCTAGGTCGACTCAGCCTTAAATGAGTACCTGGTGCGGTGTGTAAACATCGCCACTAGGGAGACAAAGGCGGTCGGGCGTGGTGCTGGCCACCCACCCCCTCGTGTACCGTTCCGGCCTTCATAGGTGCTCGCTAACAGCACTTGCCCCTACAGTCTGTTCAGGCTATACGGGGGATCTTTATCTTTGTCATACGAATAGCTTGCTCGCTTGTTCTCTTTGAGGCGACAGCAGCAGCTGCTTGTCCACTGCTGAACGGAAAGAGAGAGTCGGCATGACGCTCGCCGTCGGCGATGCGCATTGATTCCGTCGTCGGATAGCACCCGCAGCTTGTCCACTGGCCGCCGTTCCTCACTCTTGTTTTGGTTCCCAGCTGGTTGCTGGTCGGTGTGTGTGTGTGTCGAACCCACGGCGCTCTCGCCGGCGCTCTCCTCTTCTTCACGGGCGGCTGGTTAGGCTATTTTCCCTGCTGGATGAGCTGAGTTGGCACGACGCGTATCTTTGAAGGTGCTCGTAGCGCTCGCAGCTTGTCCGCTGGCAGCTGAACACCCTTGCTCGGTGGCGCTGGTGGCGCTGCTGCGCGCTCTCTCCTGCTCCATGCTCCCTGGCGGTGCACGATTGCACGTGCAGCTGGTTCTCTGCGATGCTGGCTTGGTCGATGCTTGGTGCTTTCCGCCCTTTCTCGAGGTTGATTGCTTGACGTTGCTCGTCAGTTTAACTCGAGCTGCAGCTGCCCGTGGGAGCTGGCACTCACTCTCAAAACTTGTAAAGTGTATTCGCACACCTCTTAAACAACTGTGAAAGCTTAGTACAATACAACTTATCGCAATCCTTGACTTTGCAAGCGACTCAAAACATCAAGATAAATGTAGAATAAAACTTTCAGCGATACTCTGTCGGTCCATGCCGAACTCAGCACCGAGCATCACCTCGCCCCTCTTCTCTGCGCAACACCACACCCATTGTTGATCTCGAGGCCATGCCCAGGAGTCTGCTCGCTAGCGGTTGTCTTCTGTCGCTGGTCGTGGCTTCTGCTGATGCAGCTCGTTGACGATGTGCCAGTCACGGGGGCAGGTTCCCGGAGCCTGCCGATCGCAGCACTCTATTGTGTGTGTCGTGTCTCTGTTTTTATGTGGAATTCTCTCCCCTCGGCACGCCTTCTCACAAAGGACTGGAACTTCCTTTGATTTCGTTCTTTGCTGTGGGGGAAGTTCTACGTGTGTGTGTGTTCTAATTTATTAAGCCATCTGTTAAGTCTCACTCTGGCCTGATTATTGTCCCCCTCTTTTCATCCGTGGGAAACAGATGTCCCAAATTGCTACAAGTGCGTCCTTCTAGTCCTCCAACCCTCTGCAATATATAATCTGGAAGGAGGGGGGGGGGTCCCCCTGTCCGGTTGCGTTCTCCCCCCTCTTCCCTCGCGGTGGGGAGTTACATTTTGTCTCTCTCAGAGAGGGCCGCAGGACTTTGAAGTTGTTTCTTTTGTACCGTTTGAAAAAATACTATTTTACCTCTTATAGCTTGATACCGTACCACTTTTGTAGTTCTGTAAGTGACTCAAGGTATGTTTGTAGAAGTGTTTACAGTACTTCCATCGTGGTTTGGAGTTCCTTCATGGTGTTTGATTTTCTTTTTAAGGGGAGATGTCCTCTGCGTGCGTATGCAAATTTACTATCACGTGCTGCCGGGAGACAAAGGCGGGTGGGAGGCTTTCTCTCTATGGGATACATTTTATCTTGGTTTTGGGTGATTGACCTATTTCGCCGTATTTATTCTTCTGGATGACCCTCGGTCTAATACTTCATAATTATTATTTGGTTTATGTTCATCCAGAATTCATTCTTTGGTTCTTTCGGTACAGTCACATAGATAGAAGAAGAAGAATAAAAATAAGGTGAATAACATTAGGATTAAAATAATATATGAGAAGTAATAACCCACTAATGTAGATTGTAGCCTGGTTTTTAATCGGAGTGAGTGTGTGGGCAGTCTATGATGTCCACTTATTCGTGTCGCTAAGTTTACCGAAAGAACCAAGAAGATGGTGACGCCTGCTTTTTGTACGTGCTTTGTGGCGGTCTTTGAAGTCGTGTAGAGATTTCCCCAGAATCTCATTAGCAATCCCCCCCCTCTATTTCCTTTGTACCAAGGTGTTTTTATTTGTTTATTATCTTTATGGCTACTTCCTTGCTTGGTCCTGAGTGTGAAAGCAGTGGTGGCTCCTGCAAAATCTCTCAGGGGGGGCAAATGTCTGGATGATTGATAAGGATAAGCTCCACCCATGCAATGGATAAATTAACAGCTTAAGCATGTAAAGGCAACTTCACTTCTTTAATATTAATGAAAAATAAAGTGACTCTTACAATACATCTTGTTTGTTTCTATACTCACTATTAATACAATCCACTCAAGTTTCTTTTATTAAAGATTCCACTAGGTGGCGACAAATTATATTGTTGGATGAAACGTGCTTACGTATGATGACGTAAGCACGTTAGGGCGAGCCCTCCCGGAAGCCATAGAGAATGCATTGCAGCGCCCCCCGGTCGAAAAAAAACATCTTTGAATGTAAGTCTATGGGGCCACTCGGGGCGATTCTCAGCCGGAGTAAAATCGCCCAAAAAGAGGCGGTACTCCACAGAACGTGACATGACGCTGATTGGACTATATCCAGAGGCACAGTGACGGCTAGCGTGACTCTGTGGTTGAATGACATTGGTGGTGCGTCGCCCAATCGCCCTAATGAAGAAACCGCCCCTGTGTGAAAGGCATCTGCTGTGAGGGGAGGGTTTCGTATCACCCCCTTTTGCCCCAAGCGACACCGCGATTGATTATTTAAAAATATATATTGGCAGAATTATTATTAATATAATTTTTTGGAAAAAAAGCCTATATATACAACAACAGCAATGCCAGGAGTGAAAAGTCATCTCACTACAACAGGACAAGTGAGACCCACAATTTATTAACAGGCAGCTTCATGTATCCAGATCCAAGCTAGGATCTCAGTGGCGCTGACTCTGTGGCTCAGTGCTCTGACTCAAGACAAGTGTTTTTTTTTTCTCAGCCACTGAGACAATTATTTCTGCACCCACATCGAGTATTACCACTCGATATAGCCACGTGTCTACTCCAGTCTACCAGACCGTGATAGATGGCGATGGTTATGAGAAGGCCTTCCTCCAGGTAATCAAATGGCATTTGATGATTACGACCGTTTTGTGCTGTTGTATACGTTATTTTCACATACTGTTCTGGTAGGAAAGCAGACGAGTGTTTTTGATATGTTGATAATGGTGAGTGATTACAATCTGTTTGGATGACAAGGATGAGGTTGAGGGAAATTCGAGTTAAACACAATGTTACTTGTAAAACTTTTAGAAATATCATCAGGCCCTATGGTATAAAAACAAGTGCAGTCTCCAACTATTATTCTCCACTCTATCTCTGGCCTCTCTATATGCTATTCTAATCTTTTGTATGGCAATATGTTCAGGAGAAAAGTGCCCTCTGTTAGCCACGAGAGGGCCTTCATGAAAAAAAATTCGTATACTTTTGCTTGAATGAGTGCAGACTACAATAATTGACTAATATGGTCCATACCCGCACTGCGGCTTCTTTATTTTTCCGTTCATTAAGGAGATGTGAGCATCAGCCTTTTGATGTTCTAATGTGGTTGATATGCTATGAAGAGGGGCCATAATAGTCTTATATATATTAAGGCATTGTTATTGACAAATACTGTTGACGTTTTTTGTTTTGTAATTAATTAGTAAAATGTTAGTGGCTGTGTTTTTGTGCTCGGCCGTGGACAGGACAACTATTACTTCATTGTCACTTCCATTATCGACAAGCGTTTAGGACTAGACAAAGATGAAAGACTGCACTCAATTAAGCTCATTAACATGGCCGCCGAAGAGCAATTAAGTTAGCTGGTAAAAATGTGTTATTGAGGCCTGGGGTAAATTGACAATTATTTATCTTTCACCGATTATTGAAATACTTATTTGAACAGCTTCGAAAAGCAACAACTTTTTCTTTTATTCTCCTTGTCAAAAGTGAGTTTGAATTTTCTGCAAGCTTGTAATTGCTTTTCGAATTCTGATGCCCTGTTACGCAGCCCCTCTGCCACCTCTGACTTGTTTCCTTGGTCAATTTCATTTCGTATGTAGTGCATATATCCCGTGGCGATGCAGTGGCGATAACGCCAAACACGACCGGAAGCAACCGGTATTTCAGAAGTGGTTTTGCGCGGTCTTCTAGCTCAAGGATATCTTCCTCTTTGATGTTTACCAAATGATCGGCAAAACCAGCCATGGCCTCTACTGCACCTCTGCCTTTGCCACTGTCTTGCGGAACTTTTTCCGGAAGCTTGAACGTGTGTTTACTTTGTGCGGTGATGTTGAGGTCTTTGTAGAGCTGACGTTCCGCTTGTGTAAACGCAATGACCCTACGATTTTTCGGTTTTATCGAAGAGAGCCCTTCGCATGATTGACTCAATCCATTCAGGCATTTCTCTAGATCGCTCAGACTTTGCTCTTCCGCTTTAAGCATTGTGTCAACTTTTTCAAGGCTGCTCTTCTCAGCTAATTCTTTGCCGATATAACTTCCCAATGCAAGCCCTCCGGCCACTGCACTCAGCGCCAAGCCACCACCAACAACTATCGGAGCAGCTAAGAATCCCACCGTTGTCACCGCAGCACCGATTATAAGGGCGCGAGCTCCTGTCAATTGTACGTCTTTCACGTTTGTTTCCAGTTTGTCCAAGCCGTCGGCGAATCTGTTGAACACGTCGATGAGCTCCTCCCGTTTATTCTCCCACTCTTGGAAAGCGCTCCAGGTCTGCTCGCAAGCTTCGTCGAATTCTTCCTTGAATTTATCTGCGCAGAGAACACACGGTTGCGTTCAGGCAGATCAAACAAATGTCCATGCAGCCACCCACGGACTGGCAGAGTAATTCCATATTGGTGACCATGTGAACTTTAGCCATGATTTTGTATAGTTCTACAAACGGTTTATTTTTTAACGTAGTGCTGTTCATGCGAATTGCATCTTGCAGTCGCTGATGAACCACCGGCAAGCGAGAAGGCTGGCATATGGTGAGCCGGTGGCAACAATCGCCCAAGCTCTGCAGTCTTCTATTTTCAGGACTAAATGTTCAGCCAATCACTGAGTGCTTCTACATGGGGGAGAAAAACGCGGGCACCCAGAGAAGACCCACGCCTGCGAGTGGCCAACAATCTACTCCATATGCAAGGGACATATTTATATTACTGCACACTTTTCTGTACTGCGTCGATGCTCACAGGAAGGCAGTTTCGCAACATTAGCGTGATCGAGCAACCCCGGGCGGTGATATGGCGCACGCCTGTAGTCCGGGGCTGTGGAGGTAGCAGCGAGGGTTGGTGGATCAGCGCACTGATGGTGTGAAACTCCCTTCCCGTGGGCGTCGAGGAGGTGCCCGTGCCCTGTTTTATTGCCCCCTCGCATGTGCACGTTTTTCTCCGGGTGCTGAGATTTCCTCCCACATTTATGAACACTCATTAATCGGCTACAACATCTTAAAACACCGCTGGCCTTAACAGGATACGAGTAGATCCTAAGTCAGTGGTCCTTCACCTTTACTGCAGCCTTGCACCCCTTTGGGTCTCAATCGTTAAACAATCTATGTTATTAAATACATAGATGTTTGATGAAACAAAGTACAGTAGTTGTACTTACGTGCCCGTGCTTAGTTTGTGTTTCGATGATTTACATTCTAAAAAAAATCTGGCCATGTCTCGCACCCCTAGTGAGGGCATCTCGCACCCCGACGGGGTGTGTGCAATCCAGGTGATGAATCACTCCCCGAGGTGATGTTTTGGGCAATGGGCCTACTTCACGGAAAATAGAGAGGACAGACAGATCAATTACACAATTGGAAGAAGAAGCAAAGTACCCTGGGACAAGGAAAAAATAGCACCCCCATTATGATCCAGTCGAGCTGGTTATCACGTGTTACCAGAGCAGGTCAGGTATTTAATTCGAGAATGAAAACCCCCACGCAGCATCCTTGCGCCACCTAGGGATGCGATGCCCGCTGTGTACAGCAGGTGGCGCGCGGTGTACGGTCCCGTGTAATCGTAACGCAGTCCAGTACGTTAGATACACGAGGCGCGCCCTGAAACAATGGATCCCAGAACGCCATCTGTGTAAAGGAGGGCAATGAGTGACAAGCAACCGGGAAGAGAAACACTAAACAAAGTCGGAGAACTAGAGCGAGAGAGTGGAATTTTTTAATAAGCTGTGGGGTCTTCAGCCGAGACTTAAAACATCTCCATCGACTGCGAATTCCTGACCTTCAATGGCAGGGAATTCCAGAATCTGGGCGCCGTACACACAAAGCCCCGTGGTCACTCCCGGTACGCTGAGTAGGTCACGATCCGTGGCTTTGAGAGATCTCAGTGGAGTGTGTGGCCGAATCAACTCCTGCACGTATGGTGGAGCAACCTCATTTAAAACCTTGAACACATATAGGAAAATCTTAGACTCAACGCGGGTTTGAACTGGAAGCCACTGTTAGGTTCAGGAGCAAAGATGAAAGATGATCCCAAACAGCAGTGCGAGTGACCGCCCTGGCGGCTGCGTTTTGAACAGACTGCAGTCTACAAGGAGGTCACTCATGCAGGACTCCGAGAGAGCGAGGCACTGCAATGTTCAAGACGTGAGAATAGGAGCGCATGGGCCACCAGCCTCTGCAGCGTCTTCAGAAGAACGAATGTGTCACTCTCCCTGTCTTGATAACCCCGTCTCTCTTCCTTTGTGTCACTTCGTGTTTTGTGTCCATTGTGCTTCTATAAACAAAAAATTCTAAAACGTTTACTTTTATTTTGACAAGTAAGGCGTATGTGGAAATTTATAGCAGCAAGTTAAACGCATGTTTCTAAATGTGGAGGGGAAAACCGGAGGACCCGGAGTAAAATCTACACGACCACGAGGAGAACATGAAAATTTCAAATATTGAGGCGTCAGTCGGGATCGAACCCACAACCTCTTGTGTACCAGGCGAGGTAGTTAACATTTCGCCACGGAGAGCATCGACACAGCTCAGCTGTTAGTTACAGTACAGCACACACTTTAAGAAAAGTACTTGTATTTTTTACATGTGTATGGAGCGTTTAAACCATACGTAAACTTATCAACAATCGTTTTCATACATTGTTCACGTGTGTTCAATGCTCAGTAGTGTTGCTAATGTGTTGCTATGTTTATATGATTCAAGGTGTTCTACCATTGTAGTATCTCGCCGAATTGTTAGTAGCAGAACCCAGGGCTCACCATTTAGTCCGGTTAGCCGAGGTTTTATCGGTTTATAATTTTCGGACATTACAGCATTTGCAAACTGTATCCGTGTACGTTAAGATGAACCGAGTTAAAACATGATGCAAAAGAGTCAGAAAGCTACTGCAAACCCATACTAACGAGGTGGCATGAACACGACACATTTTTTTTTACTATTCAATCAAAACGTTGACAATTCCGAGTCACTTTTGACTCGGTCCATCATCCCTCGATAGAATACGTAGCACTTTGTGGGGAATTAAAAAGTGGTTGTCCTTTAGGAAGACTCATCACGCCCGTCATAGGAATCTGTAACTTCCACAACTGACTCAGTCAGAGCTGTACAACGGGAGGCGAACATCGCCTCGACGCTCATTGGAGCAGAACATCACTTTGACTGTTGACTGGAAGGCAGTGAATCCGTTACATGGCTCCGGTTCGCGCCAGATTTCAGAAGCTAAGCTGGCTGGAGCCAGCCCAAATGTTGGATTACTCACCACCATGCATAAAACAAGCTGCTATTGACTGCATGCTGCGGTACTACTTTGCGGGAAGCAGAGGGAGAGTTTAGAAAATGCCATTGTTGTGCCGTACTTCTGTGCTCCCACAACTAGCTTACCCACCTTCTCTAGCAACCAGCGTAGTGGGTGCCACGGTAGCGAGATGTTAACTACCTCACCTGGTATGCAGGATAATATAACAAAAATAGTTTAGTTTTATAAGTATGGTCAAAGATCCTCCACGCCCCGCACGATATTGGGGAGGCCCTCATCTGGGAGTGGATTGACAAAAGCGCCGTACGTGTTCACGACAAACCTTTGCTTTTGACGGCCATGTTGCGGTTCTGTGTCATCACACTGCCGGTGCCGGTGGGGTCTTGAATGTGATCACCGCTCCCACCGCTCCCACCGCTCCACCTGGTGAAGTCGTTCAAGACGCGAGGGACCACAGAGAGAGCGGGAAGGCAGCAGCCAGGCGGCGAGACGGCGCCAACAAATAGCCAAGCTCTGCTGTCCTCCACGTATCAAGGTGTCGTCCAACGAATTAGTGGGGATTCTGCTTCGCCGCTATCCGACTATATGCGGAAGACGAGTTTGGCTTATTTTCAATTCTCACATACTGAAATCATTAACCAATGTTTTTTTCCATTCGGCACAACTTCCTCTTTTGTATCAAGTTTAAAGTTTCTGTTTGAGACCTATCGGTGCTATACGGAGCTACAAGACAACCATTAACGCTACGATATATATTTCCATAATCTCTCCCCTGCGTAATACTGTTTTCGTCAACATAGCCTTACTCATGTCTTAACATTTGTCGATCAGCATGTGATTGATGTATTGAGAATCGTGTGTTTCCATATTCTCACATGTTTTATTGTTAATCTAAGGATAATTATTATTAGTATTCAATTGGGGATATTATTGTTGCATTGAAATGTTTGTGTTTGCCACCGTGGCAGGGAAAATAGCTCAGGTCGCCAGGTTTTATAGCACATGGAAAGAAAAAAGAAACCCATTGTGCCACCTCTCCGCCCCATTACGAAAGAGAGAGGCCACCTTTACGTCATAGCCATGTTACAGCCCATTGTCCTGAAGGGGAAAATGAAAATTACATCAAAGGTGGTTACTTTCGGTGTGGAAGAGATGTGTTAACTACAACAGACTCACAATATTCAGAAGTGCCCAGTGTGTGGTGTAACGTGCTATAACCCCCACATGACCCACATACCAAAATGTACATGTTTCTGCAAACATTGAGTAAGGGAAGTTAAACGGTTTAATGAAAGCTCAACGGAAGAGAAATTAAGTCATTAAAGGGCTCCTAAAAGCCAAGATGCGTGCTTCACATTCGCGTATCAGCCGAAGGTGCGAACATCAGTGGCGAGTAATATCTGGAGCTGGTCCTGGGTCCAAACCCGGCTTCAAACCACAATGACTGGCTCGGCAAGGTATGGTCAGACAACCCCCACATTCAATACTGCGCTTGGAGGCCTTCATCCAGCAGTGGATTGACAAAGAAGTGTAATCATTAGATTACATGTCTTAGCTTTCACATTTTAATGTCCATCGAAAAATCTAGATCCACAACGTATTCTTTGACAATGGGGATATTGTTTGCAGATGAAATCAAATTAATATTACCATTTAAAAACGCACTTCACACATCAAAGCAAAGTTCTCAGTATAGTATCGTGACAAATATGATCATTGATAATACAGTTGGTCATCGATAATTATCCGGCTGCTTCCAACATTATCCGGCAGTCCCGGGCCGATCCGGCGAAACCGGCAAAAACCGCTCCAAAGGCCGTAACCAGTCCGGCGATTGGCACCGCGTGCGTGGCAAAAGGAGTAGCTACCCTTGATTTCAGTGTTAAATATTATTAAGAGTACATTATTCGCTACATACAACTTAACCCATGAAAATACTGCACGTATATACATCAACCCGTGATGCAGAATCGTCGAGATTGGAGTGATAATTACGGTACATTAAATACAGTAACTTTTAAAACTAGGATATGTATTTTTTCAGTCTGTACGTTTATATATGACAATTTCACATCGTAATCAAATTTAAAACACAAAAACCCGTATAATACCACCTAAAAACACAATGTCATCCAAGAATGTGCAAAATAATAAACTATTTTAAAGAATGATGATGAGTGATTATTTGAAAATCCGGCGCACCCTCTCCCCATAAGCCACCGGATAATCGATGAACCTCCGGTAATGACAATGACTCGGAGACGCGAGGGACCACAGACACAGGGGGAAGGCAGCAGTCAGGCGGTGAGACGACGCCAACAAATACCCAAGCTCTGCTGTTCTCCACGTATTAAGGTGTCCAACAATGAATGAATGTTACCTGCTCAGAAAGGACCGACTGCCGCCGTTGGAAGATGGGGATTTTGCCTGGCCGCTATCCACGAATGTCGTGACTATATGCGGGAAACTCGGGAACAGTTCGGTTTCTTGTAAATTCTCACATACGTAAACAACTAACCACGATTTGTTTTCCGCTCGGCACAACTTCCTCTTTTGTATAAAGTTTCTATTAGAGTCGTATTGGTGCCATGTGGAGCGAAAACACTACCATTAATGTTACGATATATATTTCAATATTCTCTCTCCATAATAGAGGTTTTTGGGTTAGATCACGTAAATATAACTGCGTTGTTAAACCCACCACCACTCGACACAGCCAATTAGTAAGGTTTCTCACGTAAACAAAACATGGAAATTCGTTACAAGTTCAGCACACTGGTGTGTTGGATAGGAAACCCACTTCTGGATAATATTGGTCGCGAAAGCCTATGCGTTAAACTGAATAATCTCTCTCCTGCTAAATACTGATGTTTTAATCAACATACTCTTACTGATGTCATAACATTTGTTGATCGGCACGTGATTGATGTATTGAAAGGCATTTGATTCCATCATCTCACGTGTTTTATTGTTCATCTCAGGGGAATTATTATTCCGCTCGGGGATATTATTGTTCCACTGAAATGGTTGTGTCCATCACTCCACTTGTAGCTTGCAAAACAAACGAAACACAAAGTTGATCCTGCTGAACTGGTTCAGATATCTCTTACCTTAATGTTCGCCACCGTGACAGGGAATCAAACTCAGGTCGCCAGGTTTTATGACACATGCAAAGCCAAAACAACCCACTCTGCCACTCCTATGCCCCTTTACAACAGAGCGAGAGAGATCACCTTCATGTTATAGCCATGTTCACAGCACATTATCCTGAAGGGAAGAATTAAAATAATGTCAAGAGTGGTTATATGTTATGTAGAAGAGATGTGTGGCTACAGCTCTCACAATGTTGCCTAATCCAGCAGTGTCCAGTATAGTGTAATGTGGTATAACCCCACATAACCCACATGATAAAATGTACAAATGTCTATAAATTGAATAAAAGAACGGAAACGTTTAATGAAAGGTTAACGGAAGAGAAATGAGGTCGTTAGGAGCTTGTAAAAGCCAAGATGAATGCTTCACATTCCGGGTTTGACAACTGTAAATTAGCTAAATATATAATACAGGCGCTCCTTTTGTGATATTTACTCGGGACATATTTGTAAAGGTTAATTACTAGTTTCAGAAATTGTGCGAAGCAGGGTGGACACGTACCTGATATTCACACAAGAGCCATGGCAACCAGAACAATACCCCCGTTTTGGTGATTTTGAAGTGCAACTTGCATTGCCCCAGCCTAAGGTCATAGTGTTGAGGACAGAGACGTCGCTGATAATTTGGAGTTTGTCCGTTGGAATAAAGTAAAAAAAATCATCGCGTGGGCTTCTCCACATCCATATCGAATATTGCAATCCACAGTGCTCTACATGCACATAACATGTAGACTGCGCATTGGAATCTATTGAGTGTAGCTAGATTCCCCTCCTACTCTAGCGTCCTTACCTTCTCCCCCTAGTCCAGCTAGCCCCGGAGATCAAAACCTCCACGTGCGGAAGACTCTTGTATTTTTATGAATAACGACAATATCTGATAATTGGTTCTTTACCCTTCTATCTGGCAACAAAACTGACACCTTTTTTTGTCAGTTTTGTTGCCAGATAGAAGGGTAAAGAACCAATTATCATATTTTTACTGGCAAATGAGGTCCCCATAGAACGACAATATCTGTTGAGTGGAATGATAGATATTTAAAACAAGATTCCTTAGTATTCTTGGTTCTTTCGGTAAAGTCATGTAGAAGGGAAATAATAAAAAAATATAAATTATTAATAAAAATCTCACGACGTTTCGACTGCAACACAAGCAATTATCATCAGGTGTGAAATCCACAGCAAGACAATTTGAAAAAAGTGGCGGTTTTTCCTTTTTTTCAAAAAATGTTAATACTTGTCTCCACAACCTACTGTCAACTCTATTATTTTCCGCATCAAACTTAGTAATACAATTTCTGAACGCCTCCAAATGGAACTCGGTCATCTGCCCTCGCTCGGAGCATCTGCGCCGTTTCCGACTTGCTTCCGTTCCTTATACTATGCCGTGTATAGATCACAAATGTTGTGCTCATGCCTATGCCGACAGTGGCAAACACTCTCAAAAGTAGAACTGGGCAACAGATCCAAGCTCTTGGTTGCACGAAGGTTTGCTTTGTTTAATGCAGAAACTAGCTTTTCACCTTGCGTCCATTAAGTGTGCAATCTTCTGAGATGGCCCATCGCCTTAACTGCACTGTGGTCATTTAAGCTCATCTTGGGGCTGATCTTGCGTTCTCCTAAAGGCGACAACCCTACGATTGCCGGGCTGTTTAAAAGCGAGCTGCTCGCGAACGTTGCTCAATTCATTCAGGCGCAGCTTGAGATTGTCCAAATTGTCACTCTCTGCATCGAGTGTTCTCTCGATTTTCGAGGTTATTTCTTTCAACAAATTCTTGGGAGTATATGGTATTATGAGTACTTGTCTGGGAGAGTACGGTACTATGAGTATTCGTCTGCGAGAGTTCGCTACTTGAGTGTTCGTCTGGGAGAGTACGCTAATTTGAGTACTTTCCTGGACGAGTACATGGGAGAGTACGCTACCTGCGGCAACTGTGATTCCCATCGCACCCAATGTCATGGCACCAGCAGCCACTGCAGACACACCAAGTATGACCGGGGCGGCCAAAAAGGTTCCAATTGCCGCGGCAGTACCGACGGCGAATGCACCAACACTTACACGAGCGCTCGCACGAACGCTCGCACAAGCCCTCGCACCAGCGGACGCACCAGCGCCCACCGTCCCTGCGTTATCAACGTCCCACTCCGTTTTGTCCAGCACGTCCGCAACTCTTTGTAAATTAGCGATAGCCTCCTCTCTCTTCATCTCCCATTGTGTGAAGGCCCTGCAGGTATTCCAATGTTTCGTCGAAAGCTCTCTTCAATTAACTTGTCGGCAATCAACACACAGTGAGGCGGATCAAACTCATAACCGTTGTCAACATGCCATGAGTGAGCATCTCTTAAAGCCACCATGGTGCACGCGGGGGTGCTGTGGCTAGCACCACGGCTGGTCAATTTTACCTCCCCATTGCTGACGT